AGCACTTCCTACCGTGCCGCCAGTGGTCCCATCCATTTACATATTGTGAATTAATACAGATTCACACAGGGTCTTTGAACTCTTCTGAACTCTATGCTTCTACTTGTGGGCATGTATATCTGCTGTGTACCATTTAAAACAAAGCAAAACAGAAATCTTTCTTGTCTCTGAATGTTCATTGTTGGGATTTTTAAGGCAAAACATCATTAAAGCTACATCAGGGTAAGAATAATTAGCACTCAAGTAGATCAGCTAATCTTGTTTTACAGGACTGTGTGGGATATTCCTTTGAGCCCTGACCCAGCAAAGCACTTTTATACATAATTAACTTTAATGGTATTGCCAAGGCCAAGCATTCAAAAATCATGAGTTAGGCCTCCAAAATCCATAGAATTTTTAAAAAACAGTAAAGTGTTGGTTGTTTATACTTTGCTTTTGCAGCTCTACAATTCACATTTTTTACTTTTTAATATTAAAATTCCTATTGTTAAAAATAAAACTAGGAATCATGTCAATAAACATTAGTTGCACCAGTAACAAAACCTGAACATAGATGAATTTTGCATAGTTTCAGTGTTGGTGCAAATGTTATATAGATTTGCACAATTATTACTAAACAAACTAAAAAGAAGAGTGTAGTTTACATGTTTCAGCATTTCTTTCCTGTTATATTCAGATATATTTCTGTCAATGATAAGAAGATCAGACTGCAATATACCAAATCAATCTGATAACATTAAGGCTACCTGTGTACATATTAAGGTAACCAGTACTCTGCTTCACTACACAGGTTTGACAACCAGAAGTAAGGCACATTCTTCTTTCATTTACTTCACTTATAGGTGAGTCTTCTTCATTTACACAGTGGAAATTAAGAGTCAATCTACTGTATCATTTGACTTATATAAGCATATAACTGGTTATCATCGTCAGCAGTCCTTCAATATGAGGATGGCAGTCTTCCAGTAGATAGGGAAAGTTATCCGTGAGTTCGGAGATGGCTGAAGAGGCTAATCTGAGATCTGCATGTTCAACTGCAAACATGGCATATAGTTTCAGAAGGATGGAGTGGATCCTGGTGAAGTTGGGTCACAGCTCTTTCCTTTCGTGTCTCTCACCCATTTGCCTCCGTAGCGAGACAAGTTTGTTCAGAATGGTTGATGCTTTGTTGTACTTCAAGGTGCCATTGGGAATGATTCAGTGCTCAAGTCACCCAGTTCTTGATATTAATCAGAACTGTTCTTTTGCCTACCTCTAGACCAGTGATCACTTTCCTTTCCTGTTTCATGTCATTGTGATGAGGTATTTAGCAGAATTCGGGTTCATTGGAATCTGACAAGCCATACCATGAGCACTTCTGCTATGGCCTCAAACTTGCAACCTCTGGGCTGTTAATCATGCACCTTAGTGCTCATGCCTCTCCAGCCCCCCACTGATTTTACTGAAATACACGCAATTCTTAAAGTGACTGCTATTTCTTTGAGTGTTCCTATCCTGTTTTTATTCTCTTTCTGAAAGCATAAAATAACAGTTAATGAACATTTGTTTTTCACAGCATGCTCCCATCTAAACTTGGTAGACATCCACTTGGAAACATGGAAGCAAAACATGTTACAACATTTATACTCTCCATGCAGCTTTTATCCTCTTCAGAGACAGACAAACAGGAAGTTAGAGGATGCATGACACATGAGTGATACCAAGGCTGTCCCTAGGGGTCGCAAATCAGGGTGACCACCCCGGGCCCTGTGCTTTAGGGGCCCTGTGGAGCAGGGAACAGCGGCCACAGTGATTCCACGCTGACGCTGGCTTCACGTCCGGCCACTCGGGCCCCCCCCCCCTACGCTGCTGAATCCGCCGCTGGTTTTCTTGCATTCAGGGGCGGGGCTCCGCACAGGTTGATTTGCACCGGGCCCCACACCCTGCTCGGGTCGTCTCTGAGTGACACTAATGTAAAGGGAGTGACAGCCCCATTCCACGTAATCTGTAGGACACTATTTTCCTGTAGATGGCTAATTCCTTGGCCCTATTCTCTGCATGCCAATGACCATCCTCACCCTGAGTGAGAGTTCCTGTAATATATTACAAGTTATCTTACTTTTCAGCTTCTTTCCCATCTTCCCACTGGAAATGTTAAAATATTCTAAATTAGAAACAAACTGGATCCAGTGAAAAAATTCAAATGATATTTCATACAATACATGCCAAGAATTGTTTTACAAACTTTGAAATACAGTATTTAATAAAATGTATTGTAACTATGTATACTATTCCTCCAGAATCAATTCAGAGTTTGAAAGTGGGTACACCTATATTTCCAATGGTTTCAGATTTAAATGATGTATAATGGCAAAATCAGTAAATACAGGGCCTCTCAAAACAGTAATTTATTTCTAAAAAAAACCTAAAAAACAAAAACCCCACAAATATGATAAGGTTAATCAAAAGATGTATTCTTTGTACTGAACACACTTCTTTAGGAGCAAAAGACAAACATTATTAAATCTTATATTAATAGAAGCACAGTTATATCAATATTGTAACAGTGTAAAGCTTGCACACTTGTAGGTGTGGAAGGATGGATGTGCCAACAAAAAAAGTCTCAGTATTGAAAATGACTTATTTGGAAACTATTTTATTCATAAAGCTTTTAAAAATGCCCAGCCAATGGCTTTGGATGCCTGTTTTAAGGCGTTCAACATAACATATCCTAAAGGGACGTGGTTTTTTTAAGATTTGGTGTCTGAAAGATCAAACCCTTGTATGGAGTATCAAGGTGCATGTTGAAATAGGTCATGTGGTGCCCAGAGAAAACCGGCAAGAAATGAGTTTTCAGGTTACAAATCATTCACAATAAGGAACTAAGGGCATATCTCAATAATGACCACTGGCAAGTTGGAAATACAGTACCTTTGTCAGAAACTGGTTGTCAGGCATCCTAATGATGTGTACTGTCCAATGGAGCTGGTGCTATATATACATGGCTTCAAAGCTGGTTGTGTTCGCTTGAGCCAGAATGCTGGTAATTGTTCTTCTGCCCTTCCAATTCATGTGAAGGATTTTCCAAAGACATCACTGATAGTAATATTTCAAAACTTTTAGGGTTTCCAATATATTGTCCAGGTTTCACACCCATACAACAGAGTTGGGATGACAACATCCTGGTAGAGGAGAAGTTTGGCTTAGGTCCTGCCTTCCATTGAAGACACGATTTTGGACACATCCAAAGGCAGCACCGACAGATTTTCTTTGGTGTTGAATATTATCATCTACATTTACTTTTTGGGAAAGATAACTAACTACCCATGTAGGGACAATACTCAACCTTCTCCAAGGACTGCCCTCTAATTGTAATATGTAGGGGAGCAGCTGGCTGGTTTGGGGTAGTTGGAGTAAAGTATTTTAGTTTTTGAGAAGTTGACAGTGAATCAAATCATTTCATACACTTCACAGAAGCAGTCAAGAAAAACCTGCAACTCTTGAGTCGGCACACATGACACAAGCATCAGCATATTGAGAATAATTAACGGAGGTGTTTAGTTATCTTGGCTTTGGAACATAACTGGTTGGTATTAAAGAGATTCCTGTCCATGCAATGGACTGACTCTTAACATGCCAGTAAATGAAAGAGACTGACCTAGTTTGCCTTTCTTCTCAGCTGGCAGCAGATACAGCAGCAGCTTACTCAGCCATTAGACCCCAGGATTGTCCTGGCTGTTCTGCAGTTAGCACAATGCCTAGAACACAGCATCAATCAATCAGTCAATCCTAGGATGCTACTGAGATGGGAAAACTGGGAGTAAAAAGGGGCCCTGCACAGAGGAACTCTCAAATCATAAGTCAGAAGCATCTTTGTGATAATCCCTGGGCTACTGTGTTATGGTGTAAAAATAGCTCAAGCCTAGTTATATTTACCCTACAAAAAGAAGAACAGCTTTTTAGAGTGGATGTTGGTAATTGCACCATCAGGAAGAGCGACCCTTTCAGAACTGGTTGAAATGCAAAGGAATTTTCTGTTTATTGAGGGTGAGGTAAAACAGACTCTCTGCTGGTTTGAATTTGGCATTTGCTGTAGAATTTGTTAAAAGGACAACACAAAGAACGTAAACCCAGAATCAGGAGAGAATCATAGGAGTCTTCAGTCTTAAATTTTTGCATTCTGGGTACAAGTGGAACACAACCATGATAAACTGCTGCTTAGTAGCCCCTCTAAATCTGGGTATTATGGTAGTTTGTGAAATAAAACACGCAATAATCGCTGTTTTCTATCTGCCTGGCAAAACATGATGAGCCTGATGTAAAAGCATTAAAATAAATCAGAAACTTGACACTGACATTGGTGAGCTTTGGATCAAGTTTTACATGCCCAAATTGAGCACAGAAGACAGACAGATTTTCCAAATGCAGAATAAAATAAGTGACAACTATAGTAGTTCTCATTTCTGCCAAGAGAAATGCAATCACCATCAAACCACAGGAAGCGTATTAGAACTTTGCGGCATGTCACTATTAACGACATTGTGCCAATGTGAAAATACAAATATAGTCAGCTGAGCAGAATTAATCCTCTAGAAATGTATGAAGTTTGGTAAAATCATAACTCTGGGTATACTTCCTGACTTTTTGCATTTGGTTTCCTCAAATAGTCTAGTAAACAACTTTGATGATAAAAGCATGGAGTACAAGTGAAAAATGATTCTCTTACTAGCAGAGAGGAAAACAGAAGCAGAAAACACTGTCACAAGCTGGTTCAGGTCTCTAAGGACTAGGCTGGCCTCATTCCACCTTCTTATTTTTTAGGGTTGCTTCTCTGTCCTGCTTTAGCTGCTGTCATGAAGCTAAAATACAGCAGAGTACAAAAGTAACCACTATATGCTTCATTCAAATGTGTAATTTAAGGCAGGTGCAAAGCAATTGCTAAAGGAAAAACTACCACCAGGAGTTAGCAGCTAAGCCTTAAGTGGTTGTGCAGAGCGTAGATTACTGCAATTCTCCGTGTTGCCAGGCTACAGTAGCCACCTAGCAGTAGTGGGAGTGGAGCAGAACACAAACGGAATACAGTGAAATTCAGATCTCGCAATCACTGACTGCTTAGGAAGCTCCGTCAGTTTTAAGAAACATTTTCTAGAAAAACAAGCAGCATATTACTTGCCCACTGGTATATATGGTTCTGCATTTGATCAGCTGCTTCCATTTATAAATACCACACTGAAAACAAATTAGAGGCAAGAGGAGCCAGCAGCATAATGCAAGCTTATCCCTGCCCATTCTGAAACATGTCTGCCAGCCTGCACTGCCATTGCACAGCAAGGTGAAGATTTTTCAAAGTACTGAAAACAATGCCTACATGATCTGAGAGAGCTCTGATAAAACATTTCATAACTCTTCAGTTTATTCTTACAAACCTCATGGAAAACAAGGAAACAAATTAGGACTTTGTTGTCTAATCAGAACCTGAATCGTAAAGAAAAACATAGTATTAAGGACCTAGAAGGAGATCAGGCGCTCTGATGGAGACGCAGCAGGCAACTGCATGTTCTGTTGAGCCAGAAAACTAACAATGATTGCAGTGGTAATGGATAAGCCAAATACGACAATCAACGAAGCGTGAGTATACCACTGAAAATCCACAAACCACTTTGTTTTTAAAGAATTTTATGGTAAGAAATCAGATAGCTTGGTGCAAGTGAGGTCTGGGAAATGTAATTTATCCCTCTCTTTTGACAGAACTAACAAATATCTATCATTTATATAACTGGTGAAAAGTTGTTTTGGCACATCATTTTAAATGAGAAGCCAATGTTCAAGAAGCCCACCGTGCGTAAAAATTGGTCATGTTACTGCTCTGCTGCAATATGTCTAAAACTAAAAGAAATCTTCCTGAAAAATCTGCAACATCAGCATGTTTAATGATGTTACCAATGTGGCTAGAATATAGACTCCAAAAAAAAAAAAAAAAAAAAGAGGCTTTTTAAAGGGTTGTGGCTAGAATATAGACTCCAAAAAAAAAAAAAAAAGCTAGGCTATTCAATGGTTGAGTTCAGTGCAGGAGTTCAAAATATGGAACATAAAGCTTCATTGTTAAGGGCAAAATATTTGGAATGGATAGCTTTTCTCTTACATAACACTTGAAGAATGACAAGTAAGGGTGAATCTTTTTGGCTTGCCTACTCGCCCCTATAAATGTTTTTGTGTGATGACTCTCCATTGAGCAGGTTTGACTCTCCCAGAGCACAGCGTGTGTAAACTACCTTAGTAAGTTCCACAATTCTTGCCTCCATCTCAACCACACAAACTTTGCAAGCAGGAGCCTCTATCCCTGATACAACATTTGACTCATAACAATCCAGGGCTATGTTCTAGAGTAATCATGCCAGTTTTTATTGATGGTAGTCTTTTTTTCAGAATTAAAGCAGCTTTGGGTCACTACACACTGAATTGAACCCTACTTCAAAAACAGCTGTTGATACTGAAGGTTTGTTGTAAAAGTAAATACTTGAGCCTGTCCTTGGCATGCATCAGTTGTATAAAAGAAAAACATAACTATCAAATTTTAGCAACTCCAGTTGTTAAGGAGCACATTTATAACCATCTGCCATGTTGAGAATTCTCAACCATCTTGTGAGTCAAGTATATAGAAACTAGACCCCAAAATAGGATAAGATGTTTGTAAGTCTTAAGTAGAATCTTCTAAACAGACTGCTAGTTTGAGGACTCCATCATCAAGAACAGATTCTCCCTCTCTTGTTTTTATGAGTGATAGGGTTAAAAGAGCACCAATAATTTAAGTAGATAGATCAGAGATTGGCAACCTTTTGGGCCAGAGCTTGCAACATGTACCCCTTCCATGGATATTCACCTCCCAGAGAGTTCAAGACACCTATATTTATCTTCGCTGCAGGCACCCAGTCTGCAGCCAGGGTAAGCATAGGCACAAGAGAGCATGTAGGAGGACTGTGGAGAGGATGGGGAGCTCAGTACAGCTGCATACTGCCTGATCTCCATGCCACCCCAAGCCAGGGCAGACCTTCCTTCCAGGCCTGGATCCAATCTCTTTGTGGTCCAGATCTAGTCTCTGGGCTGTAGGTTGCTGACCCTTGACCTAGGTTGCTTATTTCAGTCTTATATTGCTTAAAGGTAAGATCCATTGGAAAGGATCATGGGATCACTGCTATAGTTGCTCATACTGAGAGAGACAGAAAGGGAAAGCGAATTCAGCCATATGAGACAGACATGCGCCTTTCCTTTCAATAGATGCCCCTGGTTATCACTTTGTAATTCAGTTAGCTTTATAAAATCCATTGTATGCTATATATCCATTCTATAAAATGCACTAATGAAAGGTAGTCAGCAGAACTTTGCTTTTTCTCCTCGGTTTGGAATAGCCAACAATAGCTTTATGCAGATTGGATCAGACATTGTTATGCAGTACAGAGAATACTGGATGCTAAAGGCTCATTGCTTTAGCAGAGAATAGCATAAGAAAGAATAGTAGCTGGAAATTTAAAGACAGATATATTTTACATTGGAACTAAAGAATAATATTAAAACCATATCTAACTATTGTGAAATACTACCAAGTGAAGTGATGGATTCTCCATCTCTTAAAAATGTTTATATACAAGCTGGCTACCGTTCTAGAAGATGTGTTAATGAAACATAAGGTTAACACCCCCCTCCCCCTCCCCCCCACGCTGGTCCCTTCTGGTTTTAAAATCTATTAGTATTATACACTAAAAGAGGTAAGATTACATGAAGGAACTTAAAAAACCTAAGTGTTCTTTCAGCCTTAGTTATCTAGATTAGCTATGAACTAATCCGGGTGACTAGAGAAATACAGTTGTATTAACTTCTCCAGTTTCGCTTTTTCAGCCATTATGTTAACTCTGCTGTATTTTCCTATGTGCAAAATGGAGATAATTGTATCTACGTCACATACATGGGGGGTAGGGAGGAAGTAAATGTATCCTGTTTCCAAAACCCTTTGGGATCCTCATATAGGAGTGCTGTCAGTGCAAAGCATAGCCATCAAATAGGTCCTTCTAAATGTCTGACAATTATTTTTATTTTACTATTCTATATAACTAAGCTCTTTTATTTTAAGATTCTCTAGTGTAAGCTCTTCGGGGCAGAGACCATTTCTTACCATATGTTTGTGCATGTGTTACATATGTACTGAGCACTAAAATTTCAACAGGAGACTCCAGATGCCATTGTAACATTATTAATAATAATAAAGATAGGTCTCAGTCTTGCTTATACTGAAATATGGTGTTTTCCTATTTATAATTATAATATATCTCAGTGTTGTAAATAATCTTTTCCTCTTCTAAATATGATCAAATCAGGCACTACCCAAATACATTTTGAATTAAGCAGTACTGGATATATTGTTTTCTTAAACAGTGGCTAATGCACCTTATTCATCAAGCTCACAAACAGGTACGGGTGTTCTTTAAAAATGCAGCCTGGAGGCTATTTTGTATGATTGACTATTTTGTTTAGAAATGACAGTTGTGAGCAGTCTCTTATACAAAGTAATGCTTTCCATGTGTGCCTGCTTGTTTTTCAGTGGTACAAACATGTTCAATAAAGGCTGCGGATAGAAATTAATCTAACGGTTTTTCTAGTAATTATTTTGATGATTTCACTTGATTTCATTTTCCGATATTGGAAATATTGTTACTTCTCTTGTCACTTGCAATATGTAAAGCACAATTCCCAAAGGTTTATGAGGTTGTAGGGATCCAGTAAAAGATGACTGATTTCTCCCCATACACACATGAACACTCCACCCCACACCCACTCACCCACCCACCAGCAAAACATAATGCTGTACTATTTTTGGTAACAAGGAAAGGGCCTCCCTCGGAAAACAGAAAGCAGTGTATTTTCTCAGTTACATCACTTCACAATCTAATGCTGTGTTGTGTTCGGTGTTTTTGTGGTGATGCAAGTCTTTTTTTTTTTTTTTTCTTACAGCCGGTTGGATTTTCCCCATCTTACAGCACCTCGCAGGTCCCTTCTCTGAGCAGTACATTGCCTGAGTGAGTAGAAACACACAGATCAGCTGCAGGTTTCTATCTACAGAAACAGAGTGAAAGAAAAAAAAAGGGTTGGAGAAGGAGAGACAAATATTGACTTGGCCTTATAAAAAAGACATCCAACGGCTGAATAAAGAAACCCTGTTCATGTTTTGGGATATTCTTTCAACTGGCTGGAACAAGAGTGGATCAAAAGAATGGGAAATGCCAGCAGACCCTTTGGAAGAATTGCTTATTTCCTATGCCTTTTATCTGTGCTTTTGCTGACTGAAGGGAAGAAACCAGTGAAGCCAAAATGTCCTGCCTGGTGTACTTGTACCAAAGATAATGCTGTATGTGAAAATGCCAGATCTATTCCACGCAGCGTTCCGCCTGATGTTATCTCAGTGTAAGGGCTGTAAGCATTTGGTTATTCCATTTATGATTTAAAATTAACTGGTATGTTTGACGTTTTCGGTACATGCTGAAGAATGCTTGCAGTAGGGAATCCCTCCAGCATTCGGAAACATCAGATAAAATGTTAAAATTGTGTTGCATCTCTAAATCCTGTTTTTACATGGTTTTTTTAATCTCTCTATGCCTTTTTACATGTTTTTCAAGCTGTCATAGGTTTCATATAATGCAGATTTGTTTTTGTAGTTAATAGTAATTATGTAAAGACATTATATTGTGATGCACAGCTCAGTGTTAAATGATGATTGTATCGGATCGCATTAACATAAGCTTGTGTTTTTTCTCCTTTCTTTTCAGATCCTTTGTGAGATCTGCTTTTACTAAAATCCCAGAAGGGAGTTTTTTGTTCACACCGTCTCTGCATCTTCTGTGAGAAATATTTATATGATACGATTATTTGTTACGAAACGTGTATCCGCAAGCCCTATACTCAGGGTCCCACTGTTTATTTTATAAGAAATAGCAAGTGTGGTTTCATTATATCACTACTAGTATCTGAAGTAAAGGTAGTTTTGAAAGATAGATCATGATTAATGTTGGTTTTTAACTGTTTGTAGTTACTTCATGGCTTAGGTTTTAATTTTTGCTGTCGATGCTGCTTTGTATAGATTAAATTCTGAGGACTGTTCTCTGTGACAGTGCATCTGTTATCCTTTTATGTATCATACTTTAATGTATGTTAGAAAAGGCATCTCAGTGTTGCAACAACTATACCTGTATTGTTTCTGCAGTCTTAGGGCCTGATCCCAAAGTGTGCTACACACGTGTAACTCTTATTGCTTATGTACTCAGGACCTGTCAGGATCAGATCCCTAATTTCAGTAAAGAAAGATCCTGAAGTCTTTACTCGGGCAAAACTGCAATTGACATTAAAGGAAATGTAGACCCTTCAATGGGAGTTTGTTTAGCTGGGGGTTGGATTTGACACATCATTTATTATTCCTCATTCTCTTAATCTACATTTAATGTAACAAGTTTTTTAATAATCAGAAATTCTTGAGCAGTCATTCCAAAGTCAAATATGGTGACAATGTATGCACTGACCTTTTTTTTGAGATGTAGGTTCATTGCTCTGTAAAATATTACAGGTCCGTAGCAGAATTGGCTACCTAGAAAACCATGGAAGTGATTATATAATGACTTGCTATACAAAGATATTGGAGAGAGAAATCTGAACTGTTCATACTTTGCTTGGTAGCTGTTTGAAACGTATTCAAATTTGTTTCAGAAACTTGACAAAAAAGACTTTTCAGAAACCAAAAATGAAATCAGACACCTGTCTGTGGCTGAGTTAACATATACAGTGGATCTGGTCTGAAGTGTAATCTTGATTTATTGGAGCCTTAAGGCTGTTACATTAAACTGTTGGTGCACTGATAGTTGAAGGCATGACCCGAACTGTACTCTGCTACCTCAAGTGGAGCTGATAAGGAGGTGCAGGCATACGTACAATTTCAGATACAGGATGAATAGGTAAATGTAGTTACTATGGAAACCTAAATGCTGTTCCATTGTGCATTATCTTTGACAAAATTTTCCCAGGTGGTAACATCACAAAAAGATAAATCTCACATAACTCCTGTGCTGGGCCTTCCAACAGGAAGAAAATTAAAAGTAGCAGCATTTGTATTGTGGAGCTTGTATATTAGTAAATGAAAAAAGGACACCACAAGCCTCTGTCTTGGCTATGACATGCTATCTACATTTAACAGTTCTACTACTCATGTAAGTCAGACAGAACAGGTTAGCTGAAGAAGAAGCAGGGACTGCCTTTCATTCAATATTTATCTAGTATGACTGGGTTTCCTTTCATTTGTGCCTTTCACTTAGCTGCCACACATTCCTTGTGCTGCTGCTAATAAACTGGTGCACTAGACATGCCAAACTTAGAAAAACAGTTTTTGTTCCAGCCTGGGCTTTGACAGGTGATGTGCTAAAACAAGTGGTACAAACCAGCCACAAATATCTCGTGTAAGAAACCTAGCATTTCTAAAAATAGTGCTGAATATCCATATGTCTTTCTCTATGTAGTCTACCCAGGAGCTGACCTACTTGCCATGTTTGGAAAAGTCAGACTTTTGGTCTAGGACAAGTGAGAGCAGTTTCTTCTTACATAACAGAGAACACCCAAGCAAACTTCTACAATGTAGGCCCTGTGCTTTAAAAAAAATCTGCCACTGGTTGAAGAGGTAGGACAGAAAACAAGAACAAACAAAATAAAAATAACTAAAAATATAAACTAATTTAAAACTAGTTATGGGTTTGTATGTGACATCTACACTGGTGGTTTCAGTTTACCAGGTATGTAAAGAGTAGTACATATTGCTACTGGTTAAACAAAAGATCATGAAATTATACATCCAAGGTCCAACTGTAACTTGATCTCTTCTAAATGTCATGTGATTTCTGGATGTGACGCACATCTGTCTGTATTGTAATCATTTATCATTATTTGAGTTGCACATAGCAGCATAGATAAGAATCTTGGTCCTATTTTCCTAAATGCTATGCTAAGCTCCCATTTCTCAACTCTAAGAACAGTAATATGGAGGGACTAGACATGGAGAGACTCTAATTTGAGGAGACTTGTGTTTTTTTGCTCTTTATATAACCAGAATATTATGAAGAAAAAAATAGGTGCAGTGAAGTCCAAATAATGGATCTTAGCAAAATATCCCCATTACTTCTTTAAAATTTCAAATCCGTTAATGCCTGAGGATATTGGCATATAAGTTCATGAAACATTTCACGAATCCAACTGACTGCAATGTACTTTGCAGCTACAATTCCATTTGGAAAAGCAGAACTCCTCTTACTTGGAAAATACCTAGTATGAGAGATGTGATTAACTTTGAACAAGCAGGTTCTAGTCCCTCATTACTAGCAGAATTAAATGCCAACACAGTGCCCTAGAGATGCGTTTGCATTTCAGTCTACAGGAGATGTTTTCAGTGACACTTGGGGAGTCCCATTGTTTTAACAATTAGTTTGTGCTCACTGCTGACACCACCAGTGGCACCTGTGGGTGGTTCACGATCACCACTTGGTGTCGCTGACACTGCCAGTGGTGTCTGTGGGCAGCACTCGCCATTCCCCGCCCCTGCCCCCCCCACCTTGCCTCCACCATGTGCCATCGCCGCCTGAGGGAGCTCGTCATGCCCCACCAGCCTCCAGGGCCACACGGCGTTCATGGCCTTACCTAGTGTCTTGGGGAGCTCCTGGGGCTGTAGCAGCAGCAATCCTGCCATTTGGAGCCTGGTCGGCAGCCAGAGAGTAGCTCTGGCTGGCGAGGCTCCGGTTTTGAGTGGCTTGTGCTGTCCCTGTATACACTGCTCCACTTTTTTTTGCACAGGTTTTTTTGACCCCAGGATATCCAGGGGTCAAAAAAACCCACTGCACTGCTCCCGCACAGCAAGGAGAACAGCTGAATGTGCAGTATGTGGTGCCTGTCTGGACGTGGCCAAAGAGTTCAGTTTAACCCTATGGTACCCCAGTCTTTATACAAACAATTCCTTCAGGCACTTGGTGGGAATCTGGCCAACCTGGAACTGTTGGACCATGTTCAAAAGAATATAATAATCAAACAGTTTTTAAATGTTGTATCTTTTCATGCAGGTTGTTTACATCAAATTCTTTTGATGTTATCAGTGATGATGCTTTCATGGGCCTTCCTCATCTAGAATATTTGTAAGTGAACAATGTTTTTTCCTAGAAGTACTGAGTAGGGTGGGTAGGTTTTCGAGTTACAAGCGTTGCATTGACCAAAATGAATTTATTACCCATTGCAGATTTATTGAGAACAACAGCATTAAGTCAATTTCAAGAAATACTTTCCGAGGACTGAAATCTTTAATTCACCTGTAAGTACAGTGGTTGCATACCTTATGTGGACTGTTTAATTTAGTAACTGAATCATGCAATGTTGTTTAATTTAGTATCTCATGTTATATAATCATTGATTGTTGTATAAATAGAGTTAATATAGATGTTAATCTTTGCATGTAACCTATTTTCAGCTGTTTAGCTTAAAAAACTGTCTATGTACTGTGGCATGTTTGATCACAGATTTACATAAATTTAGGGCTGGAAGGGACTTTGTGAGGCCATCGGGTCCAGCCCCCCTGCTCTGGGCAGGAAACTGTTGGGGTCAAATAACCCCAGCACAGTGTGCGTCCAGTCTACTTTTGAAGATCTCCAGGGTAGGTGCCTGCACCACCTTCACTGGGAGTCTATTCCAGAGTCGGGTCACACAAAATGTGAAGAAGTTTTTCCTTATATCCAGTCTGAAATCTTCTAGGAGTTTATGACCGTTGCTCCTGGTTTTCTCCTGGGGTGACCAATTTTTCTTCCACTGAAATTGATAGTCAAATAACTGTTGACTTCAGTGGAATCAGCATCAGATGGTTATGTTAAAATTCTAGCTGTTCTAAGCATCCAAGTTAGAATGAGACATGACAAGGGCCTGTAACTCTATCAGGCACTAATAATGTGGTCCATTTAACACCACAATTATGGCTGCTCAGCCCTTCAGCTGTTTGGAAACATGGTGAGGACCTGGCCCTCCTACAAGCTTTAGGACACCAAGCCAAAGGTAATGGGGGAAGTGTATTTTGTTCCTTTTTAGAACAATAGTGAGAAGCACTCCAGAGTAAACTGGATTGAATTTTTTCTATAATTTCACCCATGCAACCACACTGAAATTAACGGGATTGTACCAGTGTAAATGAGGATAAAATCTGTTCTGTTCTCCACAGTTCATCTTAACTTATTATGTCCTACATAGGAAGAACAACCCACCTCTGGCCATTTGCCCTGCATGCCCCAGCACTGATCAGAAAAGTCCATTCAGATTACAGTCTTGCTGTTCAAGAATAACTTTATGATAGGCAATCATCTGAAAACATGCTGAACTTTGAAGCCAAATTAGAAACAAGAATATAGAAGTAACAACTAAAACATGTAGGGGAAGGACCTTCACACACAAACAAAGTATGTCTAAATTGCCTAGGGCAGTTAGATATGTTTATACTAAATTAGCTTTAAACAAAATAGCTCAGATCTCAAAAGCAGTACAACTGTATTAGCTGAGCAAGGCAAATTAGTCTGAGCAGGCCTCTGTGCTAACACAACTGTAACTGCTTCCATTACCCAAGTTAGCATCATGTACTGTAGATAAAGGGACATACACAGTAAACTAACATCTGCAACAGAGTACTATTTGCATTGTCTAACTTATCAAAGATAAGCTACTTTCAATTTAAATCAAAGTGTTTTTGTTATTTTCAGCCAGTTTTTGTTATACATACCCATGTATCAAGTCAGTTACTTTATTATTTTCTCTAAATACTGTCTTTAAAAATACAATTACAGGGGAAATCTTTTTCTTCTATAAAATAATGTATGGAAACAAGGGTTTGTTATGTAGACTTTCATATCTATAAAGACTAATTAATTTTAATTGGCTAAAATATATTGCTGTGCCTGACACATGCATTAATGCCCTACTTTATCATATTAAGTTACAGAATATATCTTGGAATATTTCTTATAGGCAAGGGCAATGTATTTTGACCTTTTGGCCTCAACATAATAGATTTTAAAAGGGGTCTGAAACAGGGTCACTTGGTTTTTTGGTTCAGATATGGTCAGCCATAAGGGAAAGTACAATTTCAGCTATATATTGTAAATGTAATTCCAGTTAATCAAGTTATAGACTGTAGGATACTTTGCCATTCTCTACTTGCATGATGTAGACCATATCCCCAGTTGGTTTAAACGGAGTTCACAGTGACTATTCATATATCAAGTTATTCACATAATGTTCACAAAATTAAGGAAAGGAAATTAAGCAGGAGCAACATAGAGTACATGTAAATATACTGTAAAAATCTGTATTACATTTATAGGCTAACTATAGCATAGTTTAAAATACCAATATTCTACAAAAAAGTATGCAGATAAATAGCCCCATTCAATTTAATATTATTACTTTATTTATTTTGTCGCTGTAGTTGTCAACGTACAAGCTGCTTTTTTCAAAACGGAAAAACACAGAGCATACTATGTATCTATGCACATCATACAATCAAAAATAGCATCATGTTTGACTGGTGTGCTGGCTTCTGGGGCCCACTCAATAATTTTGAACGAGTAACCGTATGTAGAACATGGGACAATAAGCAGCCATTGTTGTCTGCCTGTAGTTTCAAGAACACTTTAGAACATGGATTTATACATTCTACACTATATATATTGGGTTTTTTTCCTGCTTGCAGAGCTAATTTTGAAAACAAAAGCAGAATAACTAGAGGTTCATAAACTACTGAATGTGACACGCTCGGTTGGTCATCCATCCTTAACCTATAATATGTCTATGTCTGCGTACTGGGGGCATTTGCATGTGCGCATTACTGCAAACTTGACTAATTAGCTCCGCAGTAAAGTGTCACTATCTACACGCGCACTGCTATTAGGCAGTCCTGGGCACATGTTTAAACACTTCACCTGGGGGCAGCACGAACTGTGCCAGAGTTTATTCAGCCATGTTAACTGCAGGTGTAGATGCACCCACTAAAAAGAACAACTAGACTCTCTGAGGCAGTTTAACTTGAAGAAGAGCAGAATATTATTGTTGTGTAAACATATAAAAGAGATTAACAGTAATTATGTGTACTAATGAGTTGCATAAAGTGATGGCAAAATATCACCTTTGTTCTTCTGTATAATCTGCCCACCTCCTTTTCACTATTGTATTTTTACATTGCAATAAAATTATCCAAATAACCACATTTTTATTTATACAATAATTTAATTGTGTCCTCACTAAAACATAGAGGCATTTCATGAAATTCATAGAAAAGTAGGTCTGGAAGGGACCTTCATCAAGATAATTCATTTTTGATTTAACGTTGAAACTAAATACATATATGTATGATTGTATTTTGATTTGTTTAATGCCACAATCCTAAATTGCAGAATATTTTAGCATAGGAAATTATTTCAGGCCACCAAATGTAATTCTGAATGCATCTTTGAAGGTTATCATAAAAGCAGAGCATCTTTCAGAGTTTTAAAATATCTCTCTTCAATCATAGTTACATATTTGATTCAACATTTACCCCCTCATGAGCTAAATTAAAGTTTTCTGAATGGGTATCACTAAGAGTGCCAGGTAGAGGTAAGAAAATAAAATGTTATTAGGTGTTTTCCAGCAATGGAAGGTATAAAATGTGAAGCTTTCATCCAAGAACTGGATTTAGATCCTTCTTTAGATTCTTTTTTGTCTGTTTAATTCCCACTGCAGTGGGAACTCGTATCTCTATGTCCACCATGTCTATTTGCTTGAAGTAATCAAGCTCACATATGGCTCTGATACTGCAAATCCGGGCTGTCCAACTGGTGGCCCACATACAGCATGCAGAGGGTTAATGTGCAGCCACTAGGCTCATACCTGATTGCCACTCCCCCTTTTGGTTTGGCTGCTGGCACAGCTGGGCTCTCTGGGCCAGGGATTTTCAACCTTTTTTGAGCAGTGTACTCCCAGCAGCCGGTCGAGGGGCAGGGGTGCAGGAGGGGGAGCAGCAGCCGGTCGCAGAGCGGGGCGGGGATAGCAGCAGCCAGTCATGGGGCAGGGTGGCAGTGGTCGTGTACTTGAACAGCAGCGCAGGGTGGTGAATGGTGGTGGCAGCCGCCACATGGAGGATTCTCCTCCCACACCCATCTGTCTGGGCAGTGCTTGTTTGGCCTGCAGAGTGGCACTGCTGCCCTCGCCCCCACCACTAGCCCTGCTCCTGTGAGGTGGTGGAGCTCTGTCCCCACCCGCCCGTGTGTGCCCCCTGGGACCTTTCAGAGTACCCCCAGTTGACAACCCCTGCTCTAGGCCTTTCCCTCCTTCCCTCAGCTTTCACTTCCTGCTTCTGCACCAGTGGGCAGGGTGGAGAGGCATACCCCTCACAGCTGGCAGGGTGCAGCCCAAGGGGCCATGGCTCCCACTCATGCAACTTCCACAAGCTTTGTGGCCCCAAAGTGCTTAGAAGTTGGAGAGCCCTACCGCAAATGATCATAAATCTCTTTATATTCATCCATCCAAGCGGTTGCTTTAGCTTCTATAAAAATACTCTTCTGCATAAATTTAACCTGTGCAAAACCTTATGTTTATGTTTATACATTGGTTGCAGTAGGCCAAATATGTATATTATACATACACAAAAGCAATATTAAGATGCAGTTCTTCAAGAAGTAAGTAAAAAGCAAAAATGGTATAATGAGGTTCTATGTTTAGTAGAAGCAAGCAAAGCGCCTCAGTAGATGCTTAACTTTAAGACTGGAGGTAGTCCTATTGATTTACAGGAAATTTAGTCCCATGGTTTAATTTAAGCACATGTTTAAGTGCATTTTGAACAGAACCATTGTGACTAAATATCTTCTTGTTGGATATGCTCAAGTTACAAGGAAAAAAAACAGATGAGAATTAAAAGAAAAAAACCAAAAAAAAAACCTAACAAGGATCTATCTGAAGGATGAGTCAGTTTTTTTTTCCCTTTTTTTACACATCATAACTAAAACAGAGGTTTTATTCAGAAAGTGAATAAATTAAGTGAACTGCACCCCAAAGTAAAAGAGAAAAGAAAGTGTGAATATATTTTATCAGAAGGAGTCACAATGTAAATGAGAGAACCTAGAAAGGAATCCTGTAGAACTAAGTGCTAAAGTGCATTATTGTTCTTAACCAGAAAAAAAACAATATTACATTTTACTGAAAAATACCATCTGATGACTGACATAAAATATCTTCTCTTACAGGAGCCTTGCAAACAATAATCTCCAAACACTTCCAAAAGACATCTTTAAAGGCCTGGATTCTTTAACAATTGTGTAAGAAATCAGCAATTTCTTTGCTTCCTGTGTTACCGAGTAGACAGTAAGCCAGTATAGATAGTGGTGGAACCTATCATTTTGGTGGGGCAGAGGTAGCAGAAGTAAGGGTGGATCGAATTTATGTCAAGTGTTGTTAATACTTTGTTTTGATTGTGTAATATTTTTCCAAGCTATCAAAAAGAGTGAAATATTTAGAACCAAGATTAAATTATAATATTAAATATTAAGAAATAAGAATTCAACGTGTTCATAGTCACTGTGATACTTGTGTATGGTTCCCTGAAATAAGAAAAATAGTTATCTTAAATCTTAAAATGTATTTTTAAATATAGAAGGGGAGTAGCATGAAGGTAGGGAGAAGAGTGCTTAACCTAAAATGTTCTTATTTTCATTTCCAAAATAATCTCAGATGAGTCTCTATTGAAAGTAATTATCATTTTAAACCTCTTACTGAGTACTGTACATGAGATGCTAACTCTAATTGCAACTAAAAAAAAAAAGGAAGTAGTTACATTTAAATAGGTAAAACAAAGAATATTTCATGTTTGTAAAAGTACAAAGTATATTTTGAAATATATATTCATTCATTCTACTGGAACAGCTCCTGTTAGCAACATACAACATTCTGGCTGCTCCAACATGAGAAAGCAGGTACAAAAAAAGGCTCTTCTTACTTCCTCCACTACAGCTGCTCAGGAGTTAGTTTTAGGACATACCCAGTATTTCCTGCTATAGTAAATGTTGGAGCTGACTGCACATCCATTGAAATGCCAGTCACGCTGGGCATAGCCCAGCAGCAAGACGAGACCACTTCTGCTAGTACCTGGCTGCAGACACCATGGGAATTTTTCACCACTAGCATGTGCAGGTGTATTTCAATACTACAAAATAATTCTTTGTCCACACCGCTAGCACTCTCCTACAAAAATTAAGAGAATGCTCTACAGCACTTTTAATTACCCAGTACAGTCCCGCATATGCCCCGTGCTCTTCACAGGGGTGTTTAGTACAGGAAGACGATTGACACCTCCAGATGGGTGCCAAACCTTATAAATTCCATTAACAAGAACAGTAGTTGAGGATCTCAACTGCTCTTCAGGAGTAATCTGAATTTTGCATAATTAGGCCCAAGAGCAAATTTTGATAAATTTGATCTGAAGGGAGTTCTACTTGTATCTACTGTGGGCCTAATAGATTACATCAAAATGAGAAAGGAGAAAATAAACCAACTTTATCACTCTTATTTCCTACCCTGATCGTGGGTAAACAGGGAAAATCCATGTTTTGGTTCAATGACTGTCATGTTACAGTATTTGCCATTTTGTCATCTGTAATGTCTTCCTAGAAAATGCCAAACTGAGAAACGAACCAAAAAAGGGCCAAGCAGTTTGGCAAGGATTTGGGTATCTGTAAATTTGGGAACATCAGCAAAGAAGAATTGGTAGAGGAGATAATCCTTCCCACTGACTATCTGTAATGAATGGTAATCTATTTATACTGAATCTATTTAAATTAATGCAAAGAATTTTAATATTTTTTTTAAAGTAAGTTCAGGACAAATCAATTTAGGGAAGCAGCAGCATGAAGGTTGACATTTCATAGAAATCCTGTTTATTGTAGCCTGTCATGTCGTGGAAAAAACAGCAGCTAATTCATGTATTTCAATGAGTGGTTTATTTGTTATAGGGATCTTAGAGGGAATGCATTTAATTGTGACTGCAAACTAAAATGGTTAGTGGAATGGCTGGGCAGCACTAATGCAACAGTAGAAGATATTTACTGCGAAAGTCCACCAGAATATAAGAAGCGTAAAATCAATAGCCTTTCTCCAAAGGAATTTGATTGTATTATTACAGGTAATGTGTTCCAAATTTATTTAATTTTGTTTCCTTACAATCAAAGATATAGTCTCAAAATTTAGAGCCCCTTTGTATTCATAGCCTATATAAAGACTGCATATACAGAGCCCCTTTCTATTTATAGCCTAAATAAGGACTGCAACAGACCTATAACTGTTATAGGTACAATTTTTAATTTTGACAGAATAAAATAAGACTTTAATATTTTCTCACACTAACAAGAAAATCAGCTACTGTTTAAATGTATTTTTAATGAAAAGGTATTGATTAAATAGCTCTTTTTAATACAATGGAAACGCATAAGAAAAGAAATGCTACCTTTGGTTACCACGTGTTGTGTGCACTTTTGCAGAATTTGCTGTTTATCAGTCCCTCCCATATCAGTCTCTGTCAGTAGATACTTTCTCATATATGAATGATGAGTATGTGGTTGTTGCCCAACCTTTTACTGGAAAATGCATCTTTCTTGAATGGGACCATGTAGAGGGGACGTTCAGGAATTATGACAACATTACAGGTATGAATAATGCATGTCATATCACATTATGCTACCTGATCTAAAGGCCGGTGCTAATGTTGTCTTTACTTTACTTTTCTTTTTGTAGGTACTTCAACTGTGGTGTGTAAGCCCATAGTTATTGAGAGCCACCTATATGTCATTGTTGCCCAACTTTTTGGAGGCTCCCATATCTATAAGAGAGATATTTTTGCTAATAAGTTTATAAAAATTCAAGATATTGAAATTCTTAAAATCCGAAAACCCAATGACATAGAAACGTTCAGGATTTCAGAAGACTGTTTTTTTGTTGTAGCAGACAGTTCAAAAGCTGGGTTTACCACAGTTTACAAATGGAATGGAAATGGATTCTACTCTCATCAGTCTCTGCATGCATGGTATAGAGATACTGATGTGGAGTATCTTGAAATAGCTGGCAAACCTCATTTAATTCTATCAAGTAGCTCCCAACGACCTGTCATATATCAATGGAACAAAGGAACAAATGAATTTGTTAAGCGTTTTGATATCCAAGACATGGAAGATGTGTATGCAGTAAAACACTTCACGGTGAAAGAGGATGTATACATTTGTTTAACTCGATTTATTGGTGATTCTAAAGTAATGAAGTGGGGAGGTTCCACATTTCTGGATTTACAAAGAATGCCATCCCGAGGATCAATGGTATTCCAGCCTCTTCAAATAAACAATTATCAGTATGCCATTCTTGGAAGTGATTATTCTTTTACTCAAGTCTATTATTGGGATGCTGAAAAAGCAAAATTTGTGAAGTTTCAAGAATTAAACATACAGGCACCAAGATCTTTCATACATGTTTCCATTGATAAGCGAGATTTTCTCTTTGCTTCAAGTTTTAAGGGAACTACACTGATTTATAAACATGTCATAGTTGACTTAAGCGCATGACATCCATAATTCTGAGATTACATCAGACTTTCTACCATAAGTGGACAAAATGAACTAAATGCATGACGATTCTCTTTATCCTGCTTCCAGATGAATGCCTTTAAAAGTTGAGATTGCTAGAACAAAGTATTACTAGTATCTTCATCTTTAATTGTCAAGTCTAGTGGTGTTGGAAGTTGCATTTTTTAACAAAAATAAATTAAATGATTAACTGTTCTTTGCATCCACAGTATGTAAATATGTGTGCAACTGCATCTGTTGCTATGGAAAAAAATACTAAGATGTAATTTTCCATTTATTTATTCACCTGTTTGAAAACAACTGCCAAATAAAATGTTTACATTTTCTGTCTTTCACATTCCAAATATGATTATTTGCAGGTGATACGTTTCATTTGTGTATATATTATACACACACAAAATAAACACAAGCCATGTATTGTCCACGGCAGTGTTTTGGTTAAATGTTTCTCTTACTATTATAAACCACAGCAGCAACGCGTGAGTGGTTTATACATACAATCAGAACTTCATGATTAAAATCCACCATCACACCCTGATCCTAGAAATATTCCTAGGTGGACTGACTCTTGCACTCATGTGGTGCTCTTGTGGCTTATACAGTAATGCACACAGGCATAAGGTTCATCCATATTGATCCAAGTGCAGCATGGGGCTTTATGTTTGTACCGTTGGAAGAATTTGATTTTTTTTTTTAATAATGTATGGAAAAATCAAGAGAATAAAAGCTTGTTGTTATAGCCTTTCTAAACTTTCTAATGACACATCAGGACAAGTGTATCAGGTGTGTACAGGTGGTGAAAACTCAGAGCATATCTTAGTTTTTAGCTAGCATCTTTCCTATAGCTAAAGTTCACGCACCACTATTTCAGATTCCTATGTAATTCTATCTCTGCCAAGCCTTCCCAGCATAGTTGCAATTATTTCCTCTTCAATAAATGTCTCCTTTCCTCTGGATGTGGCTAAGTGAAGATGTTTTTCTACTATCCTGCACTAGAGATCAGTAACCAACATCCTCAGGGAGTTAACAGCACCAGGACAAACACAAAGCTGCTATAAGCATTTGTAGCACAGTAGAATTGACTCTCCTACCTGAAGTTCTACCAGTTCTAAATTATTAAAAAGGCAAAGATGATATAAGCTTTTCTGTAATAATAGTGGATATTTAGTTTGCAAGACATCAGGGCCCAGGTTCCATTGCTGAAGACTACAGTTGAGCAAGAGAATACAAATGGGTTTCAGCTATTCCACCTTTACATTCCTTTTATGCTGGATCAAACTACATTAGGCCAGTTCCCTCTGAGCCACTGTAACAGCCCAAGAAGCCATTTTGGCAGCAGGAGATCACTAAAGCATAAAAAAGTGCTAAGACTATTCCCCTTCTTCAGCTACACCCATTACAATGAATCTGTTACCCAAGAATCTAACAAAATTGCAGAATCTTCCCAAAACAAAAGCTGTAAATTTTAGGGCAGACTTGCATTGACAAAGTTGCAAATAACAACAATGACAATTACTCTAACACAAGAACTGTCAAACTGGTTTGAGCACCTGGGCCAGATCTGGACTTTGGGGCTCCAGTCAGACCTGATCCGGACCCACCCACAGTGGCAGGGCAGGCAATGGCAGCTGCAGGATAAGTAGCAAGAGGGAGCCACAGGGGCTAATGCTTGCTTGCCTCCTGTCACCAACATGCATCCCCAATAGGATGCCGTACCCCAGATTTCATTGGCAGGCCCTGCCCTGCTTCTCCTGCCCCCAAATTCCCAGCCCCTCTAGGAGCCTTCTAGGCTAGATGACATGGCTCTGTGGGCCAGATCCAGCCTGCCAGGCCATATGTTTGATACCCTCTACCCTTGCTCTAATAAATCTTAGGCCGTGGCCTTATTTATCCATATCCTAGCTCTGAGTGTTTAATACATTAGTTATAAATCCATGAAACTTTATTGACTTCTGTGGGATTTTATGACTATAACTGAAGAATTGGACCCTGTAATTTTGTCCCTTGTTTAAAAACATTACCTCATGCTTGTTTTCAGGCCCAAGCATGTATAGTGCTGAGCATTTCCTAATGTTGCAGGATTGTGCTCATCACCCAGAATTCCTGTAACATTTTAAAAGTTGAATTCCTGTAATGCTTTCCATGCAGTATTCCATCTCTCAGATAGTTTCTGCTAAATGAGAAAGTAGTGTCATAATCATGTTGGAAGGGTGCTGTAGCTGATATGCGAGACACAAGGATTTTTAGGGGTGGTATCTTCTATTTGGAGCCTCTGCATAGGTGGGAGAGATTATAGACAAGCTTCCAGGCACCAGTTACCCTTCCATACCTGAGGATATTATTTCTTTGTGGAGAGTTTCTCCAAGATCTGAAACTAACACTACTGAAATAATGATTTAAATTTCAGATTTACTCAGCAGTTTGTAAATTCCAAAAGCCGTTTTTGTCAAATATCCCTAACTCTGAAGATCTGGTAAAGGTTTCACTTTGCACACAACGGAGTGTTATTTTGGTTTAGCATTTATGGCACTGGAAATAGTTTAATTCCACTGACATTTGACTGATGCTGACTGGTCACAAATAGTGTTAGTTCTAGAAAACAGGCCAATTTAATCACAATTGTAACTCAGTTGACTTCAGTAGAATCAGGCTAATACTGGACTTTGACTAAGAAACTAAGAAATTAGAAGTGGAATTTCATGGGGTGGTATCAAACCAACATATTACAGCTAGCATAGTTTTTTGTTTGAATACCTATAGGGAGTCATGTGGTCTTGTATTTTAATACCCATCTCTAAGATATATACATGTATATATCATTTATAGAGTAGACAGAATCTATAACCTGTGCAATAGGAAGCATCTGACTGACAAGACGTTTCATGTTATGTGTCTTGTTTAATCCCATGAACTGAGACTGCAAGTGTTCTGGTCTCCAGCATCCATGGATCCCAAAGGAATGAAGACTGAAGCAGCTTGCAAGATTGAGGGCTCAGTCATGTTCTCTTCCTTGTGTACTGATGCTAATAGAAGGACCTGCCAGTACAGTAAAAAGCAATCTTTAACATTGCAGTATATTCTTTAAGAATAAGGCAATATATGTATGTTGAAAAGGAACTATTTTATGCTTCTACATTTAAAACTATCACTTTCTACATTAAAAATGGCTTGATTTTAAAAGTAGGAAAGATTAGTCTATGTAAACAATATCACTGAACAAGTTATGATATATTGGAAACCTTTATTTCTCTAGTGACTGTAGAAAGATGACTGAGGTATGCTCAATAACAACTTCACACCTGGTTCTGAATTATTCCTTAACATATCCACAGTATTTGGAAATACCATAAGCTATCTTTCCAAGTTTAGAATATATTCAGATATTAAAATATTTTCTTAACAACTAGCCATTATAAATCTCATCTTGATAGGTAAATGACTAGTTTACCAGATTTGCTTTTATTATTTTTTAGCTTGATTACCAGAATGATGGTATTTTTAACCACAAATGTAAAAAAGATGCTTGATTTCATCATTGCAAATATTGGCTGGTACATCTCTAATTGAGGATTCAATAGATGATGCTTTCCTTCAATCCACCACAAGTGGCAAAGGAGCTGATTGGAAGTTATGAGACTCTCTAGCAAATTATGTAATAATTTCTATCACATCTTGTCTTGTGTTTTTAGTAAACCCAAGTTCCAAGATATGGAACTAAACAGTACTGAAATAATGACTCAAATTGGTAGAGTTTCTCAGCAGCCTGTGGATTGCAAAAGGGAGTAGTCTTTGTCAAATATTCAGCATTTAGTCACCTCTTGTTAGAACTTTTAATCAAGATTTGATTAAATGATAAGGTGATACATAAACCAATCTTACTCAGATTTTTCCCTTTATTAATGGTAAATAAATAATGTCACATATTGTAATATTTTATGCTCCCTACTATGAGTAGCATAGCTGAATTTAACAGAGCTGGGCAGGTGTGAATGTGCCTTTATTCATAGGTACTTTATTCATTACCCAATTATGAGCTGGAGTGATGTCTTGTCATGTAATTGTGCCTTCTGAAGAATGTGTTTTAGAGAGTTATATCTCAAAACTAGTCAGCCACATTGTCAGTGCTGTAGTGGTATAGCTGTATTCTCAAGTTAGCACTTCCTGGAATGATATAATGGGATCTTACTGTTATGCTTTTGTTTAGGGAGTTTAGAAAGAGTGGAACGGTTTGAAAGACATCTCTGTGCAATATGTTGCAATTTTAAAACTATAGGAAACCCTCACTATTTGAGAACTCTGGGTTCATGGATTCAAATATTTGCAGGGGAGGGCAGAGCCGGGAGGTGGGCAGAGAGTGAGCGCTTGGGACGTGGAGAGAAGTGGCAGCGGCGGTGGCAGCATCTGCTCCCCTGGAGACAGCCGCCACAGCGATCAGGGGGAAGGGGTCAGTCCCCAGGTGCTGCTGGGGAGCCCCAGGGATGGGGAGGGAGGCGGCAGTGGCGGCGGCATCTTCTCCCTCACCGCTGCCAGAGGCAGCTGCAGTGACATGTGAGGAGAAGGGGTCGGTCCCCAGGCACTGTGGGGGAGCAGGAGACGGTTGTGGGGCTTGAAGGGGAACCTCATCAATCTCACAGGGAGCCCCATCAGTATTCACGGATTTTGCCATTTGCAGGGATCTCCAGAAAGTATCCCCTGCGAATGGCGAGGGTCGCCTGTACTTGCTTAATAATCCATCTGCTAGTCATGTAAGTTTGTTGTTGATCTGACTGTTCCTTTAAGAATTTTACCTTTAGTCAGCACTGGTGATTTGGGAGATTTTAAGTAATATCTGAGAGTTTCCAGCAGTTAGATGAGTCAGCTAGTTAGTATAGAACTCCAGCCAAAATTGATCTCTTAGGAAAAGCATTTTCTTTAACTAACTTATGTCAGATGGTGTTCATAGACATTACACTTGATTTCTTACTGTATATGGGACATTTCACTCCACCATGTAGAAATGGTGTATTTTTAGCACAAAACTCACAGTACCTGGGCAGCCATTAAAATGCAGGAGAGTAAAGGCTGAGTAGGTAACTCCTGCTATATACTCATAACTTTAAGGGACAAGACACCTTATAGGACTATTCTGTTCTGGTCCTTGCACAGAAGTGCCCTTGCATTACCAGTGATGTCAATGGGAGTTCTAGAATAAGACCCTTTGCCAAGTAATAAATATGCTTGAGAAGAGCAGGGATACTGATAATTACTGATGTAACTAGAGATCAGTTTTCTTATACAACTCTTAACCCTTCATGCTACTTAGTCATTTTAAAGTCTCAGACACAAGACTATTGGGGGCACTGTGTTGAATACCTATCATTGTTTTAGCATAACTAAATTTTAAAAAGTGCAGAGCTATAAGGGAATACACAAATCACAATCTCCTTACCTCTTTTGGAAGGGAGGTTGATGTATACAATACTTCCAAAATATCTGTGGTTATGCCATGATTTACCTTTATTTGATATAAACCTGTGACTTATCTCAATTATAGGGGAAATAATGAATGATCTGACCAACTACTC